TATATATATATATATATATATATATATATATATATATATATATATATACTCCTTCCCAAATTAATAGTCCATGTTTCCTTTTTGGTTTGTCCCAAAATAATTGTCTACTTCTAAAAATAAATATCATTTTTACCAAAATACCCTTCATTATAAATTAAACTACAATGGAATTAAATGCAACTATCATAAAATTAAATGCAACAAAAGGGTATAATTGTCATTTTATTTAATAAAGTTAATGGTAATTAATGTTTTCTTAATTTGTGTGTTTTTTGTCTATGTTTTTTTTTTCAAAAGGGATCTTCCCTAATGAGAGTTTTCGGGTCAACTTTCGCGCACCGACAAATTCTCCGCTGCGAACATGAAGCTATGTCTAATGTCCTGGAGTCACTGCAGTCGAATCTTCATGGCCACAATGGTTGAGAAATTTTGATGTTCATTTGTTTCATATTTCCTTTTCAAGTTGGATTTTAGGTTTAATTTAAGCTATGATTTTGGATGACATTAGATTTGGTTGCAGGTTTCTGTTCTGGTGGTGTTTCCTGGAGTTCACCAACGGTGGTCGTCGGAATTGACAGGTAGTTGTTGTCGGGATCTTTTTTCATCGAACGGAGGGAAAAAAATAAGGGATTGGGATGGGACCCATATTATTTTGTTTATTAAATATGTATTTTGTTAAGATAAAAAAAATTAAAAAGAAATTTAATATGGGCATAATAGTATTTTTAGGTTAATCAGGGACCAAACACTAAAAAAACAAACAGTAGGGATTTTTGAATTAAAAAAATAACTTAGGGACCAAACGTGCAAATTACCCAAAACCACAAGGACTATTCATTTAATTTGCTCTATAATTAGTACACTTTCCATATATTGAGAAAATTACAAATTTAGCCAAATACTCTGATTACTTTGTGGAAAATAATTAAAAAAAAAAACCAAAATTGCAAATTTAGCCACTAAAATCGCAGATGGAAAAGTCCATCTGCGATTTTGACCTTCCTATCTATCTGCGAATGTACAAGTGCCTAAAGCATAGTTGTGCTTTAGGCACTTGTACATTCGCAAATGTTTTTTTTCCACTGTATATATATAGCCTATTCCACCCTAAAATCGCAGATGGACTATGTCCATCTGCGATTTCCTCTGTGTTTCATCTGTGAT